CTGATTAATCATTAATGATATTTTACTAATAATATAACTTTTCTTTGGGTTATTGTACACCAGCATTTCGTTCATGACAAATGCATGTATTTTTTAAATAATTTATTTTTTACATGTAAAAAAAGTTAAGTATTTAATATTATTTTTATTTCAAACTGAATATAGATTAATAAAAAGTTTTAACTTTAATATTTTTAATATTTATATTATTATACAAAATTTTATTGAATTTGATATCACGAATCAAGTAACACTAAATTAAAAATTTTATAAAAAAGTTTCTCACATAATAATAAAAATTTTATTAATAAACATATATTGATATTTTACTTTCTTTGAAAACTAAATTGCAATCCGTGTAATGTATGAAAAAGTTTTTATCTATTTAATATAGGTATATACATATAAATTATTTTCTTTCCAAATTATATTCAAATTTTCAAAATTTATTTACAACATATATTAAATTCATATATACTTACTCGTCATAAAAAGTAAATTTTTTGAAAAAGTAAGAAAAAATGACATCCTTTTTTGGGCCATTTTTATTTATAGTAATATTTATACATGTGGAGGATTATATCAAATAAAAATAAATTATGTTTTTTTTATAAAAAAAGCATATATATTATTGAATGATGAATTAAATAATAAAATAAGTATTAACATACTTTTACTTTTGTAATGTTGATTAAATTATTGAACAAAATATGAAAAATATTAAGAGATATGTGAAAAAAGAAAAAAAAATAAACTGAAAAAAATATTATTTTTATAAGAACGAAATTGTAATAATAATAAAATATATCTGAAAAAAAAGTTGTAAACCAAAAAATAAAATTGCAATAGTAATAAAATGTACCTTAAAAAATGGTTACAAATCAAAAAAATGAAAAACCCATATAGTCTTAAATTTGTAGAAAAACTCTTAAGTGGCAACTAAGATTAAATAAATAAATTTTAAATTAATTATTTTAAATTTAAAAGGATATAATAAGTAATAAAGATAAAATCAAATTTTTTGTAGATATTTGAAATATAAATTTGATAATTAGGATTGAGATGGATATAATCTTTTTGATAGTTTTATTATTTAAAAATATGAAAAGTTGTTTGAATTTTCAATATCTTGCATAAATTTTTGAAATGATAACTTTTTTATTGTTTTAAATCAAGAAAAAAAAGGCTGTTGAATGATGTAGATAAGTTTAATATTTGAAATTCTAAACATGATGAAAGATTTTAATAATTAAATAATTTCTTAAATAAAGTTATTTGGTAAACAACTAAAATTACTTATTATGAAGATAAAATTCATAGTTTAGACTTTTAATTTTAAAAAATATATCTTTAAATTGATTTGATTTTCAATTATAATTTAAATAATTTTAATATTTGAATAAATTTTGGATCATGTAATTTGTTATAAAAAGAAGTTATCCTACTCTTTTAAAAAATTAACTTACATGTATTCAAAAAATTATTCGCATAAGTATTTATGTGGCAAATCTTTTCAAGTGTCTATATATGTTGTAATATATATATGAGTGTTGCATGTGATAAAATATAAAATTACTTTTTTAAAAAATTGATAATTACCTCTTTTTCTCAAAATTGTTTGTTCAATTTTTTTTATTTTTTTTCTCTTTATACTTTTGGATTACATATGTAACATTTTTAATTTACTTTATTATTTAATTAAATAATAAAATTATTTAGCAAGGATTAGTTTTCTTTAAAAGGTTTATAATATTGATAATTATAATTTTTAAAGCTAAAAAATAAATAATATTACGAAACATCAATAATATTAATTTTGTAGAAAATGAAAAAAAAAAAAAGAAGGTCTCCATGTGACACCCCTCCCTTCTTTCATTTTTTATTTTATTTTTTATTAAATCTATTTTTTTAAAATTTTTTATTATTTTTATTTTTTTATTAGATAAATTTAGTAAAAAAAAGTTAATGAAGGAGGTAGAGATTGAGAAAACAATCTATATTCAATTGGTTTTTATTTGTACCAATCTAGTATAAGTGTTTTTTTTTTTTTAAATAAAGATTGATTAAGATTTTTTTAGAAAAGTGGATTGAGTTAGAGAAACATTTTAGACATTTTGTTTTGTCTCGGGTGTTTATGTGAAATCTTTTTTTTTTTTCATTTTCTTTAGTTTTTTAAAGTTTTTGTTTTTTTGGTTTTTTTTTTTATTTTTTATTTGGATAATATCTTATATGACCCTTGAACTATTGTAATTTATTAGATTTGATAGCTAAATTAAAAAAAATTTTTAATTAGGTACCTAGACTCTCGATCCGTGTATCAATATAGTCAAAGACTTAACTCTGTTAGCAAAGAAATTACTTAGTGATTTTAGTTTATAAAAAATTGACAATTGACCATAAAAAACATGTCATATTAAGTAGTTACTTATATGTCATGCTTATGTGGCCAATTATAATCTTAAAGGTTTTTTTTTTTTTTTCAATTCATTTTTTCTCCTTTAAAAAAATCATCTTTCCTTCAAAAAACAACCACACGACCATCTTTCCCTTAACCTAGATTCCGACAACCGATAGCTTATCGGATCACCGTTCACCAATGTCGATCATTTTTTGTTGACGTTGGTTTGGTCCTCGATTTCACCTAAACAAAACTCTCATCCTTCTCTTTCTATTTTGCAACTTAAGTTTATCCCAAAATGTTTCATAGCTCCTAGGTCTAAAGTTAAAACTCGAAACTTCAAACCTCAAAATCTCTTTCTTCCACCTTTCGATCCTCTTATACTTTTATTATGTTGTTTTCTTCTTTTCAACCTTTGTTTTCACCTGTTGGATCAAGGATCCGCCATTCTTTTAACCTAAATTTCAATTTTGGATTAAAAGTTTTATACTTTATATCATAATAATTTTTACTAGTTAATTAATATATTAACTTCTTATCCACAGCTAATGCATTTTTATAGACAAGCACCAAAACAAAAATTAATACATAAAACAAGTCTTGACTGAATCTGTACAATTAAATCAAATATTAACTCTCTTTTTTCCCCTTTCTCTCTCTCTCTCTATATATATATATATATATATAGATATATAGATATATATCATCTCTAAGGCTCTAATAACATTCCAAAGCAAAACCTCTTTTTTATTAGTCGAGAAAATATTGCACCTACCTACATATCAGCAATCAACCATCTGTGTTCAGAAACAATACTAGTCTTGGATCATTGAGTTAAATGAAGCTAAACTGAATAGTTTAAAGATGATTATTCCTTTTTCATTTTTTTTTAGCACCATCTAAAATTTTCACAACTGCTAAGCATTTGATGAGAACTATTTGTAACTATCATTGTATGTTTTAATTTGAGCTCCTTGTGATGGCTACAATCCAAATGCCTCCTCCAATTTACTTCGTCCATAAATTGATCTTCAGCTTTGGAACCTTGTTAGCAAGTTTTATTCTTTCCCAATAGATTAATATGATCAAGTCGCTTATTCAGAAATGGCAAATCGAACATGAACATGGAATCCAGTTGTATGGGTTGGCTTGCTTTCAACTATTGACCTATTGCTACTACAAAACCATTTATTTGTTTTAAAATTTTTTTAGAAAATTTAAAATTTTTTTGAATTGTTTAAAATTTTTTTGAATGTTTTTTAAAAATTTTGAATTTTTTTTAAAGTTAAAAAAATTTTAGAATTTTTAAAAAATTTTTAGAATTTAAAAAAATTTAGAATTTTTTTAGAATTAAATTTTTTTTTAATTTTTTTAAAATTTTTCTTTAAATGTTGACATGGCATTGATGATGTGGCATTGATTGAATTATTTTAACACGTGTTAGCATCTTATTAGATATTTATGCTACGTCAGCGTTTTGGAGTTAATGATGTTAAGTCTTAGACTATATTGATAGAGAGTCAAGGTATCTAATTAGAAACTTTTTTTGTTTAAGTACCACATTAAAATAAATACATTAGTCAAAGGGCTATATGAAACATTATCCTTTTTTCTTAATTTTTTACTTTTTATTAAATAAATTTTGTAATAAAAAATTAATTGAGATAGAGATGACAAAATAATCAATATTCGATGAATTTTAGTTTGTAATGAATCAATTGGTTCTTTTAATTCGAAATAAATAGGTTGATTTTTTTTTTAAATCAAGTTCAGGTCAAAGTAAAGTTTTGAGTATTATGCTTCTACTTTAATATATATAAAAATATATATTTTATTATTTATTTATTTAATTTATATTTATATATTTATTAAAAAATATTATTTAATACTTTAATTTAATAAATTCACGTGCCATCTTATTTGAATCTTTTTGTTATTTTTTATTTTTAATTTTATTTATTACATAAAATTTGTAAAGAAAAAAATCAATGAATGTAAAGATAATAAAATAACCTATATCAAATAAATTTTGATTTATCGCAACCTAATCGATGCTATTTAAAAAAAAAAGATTAATTTTTATCTTTTTAAACAATTTAGATCGAGTCAAGATTGGGCTTAAGATGCTATGCTCTAACCATTTTAGAGATATATAAAATAATGTAATTTATTATTTATTTAATTTATATTTATATATTATATCAATAAAGATATTATTTAATGCATTAATTTAATAAAAAAATTATATTTATATATAATTAAGTTATAATTATATTAAAAAATAAATACATATATATTTATTTATAACTTATCATCCATTAAAATTTAACATAAAAAATTATTTTTTTCATATTTAAAAATAATTCAAAAAAATTGTCATACTACGAAAAGGGATCTTATTCTAGCAAAAATATTGAAACTTGTGAGTGTCAAAACGAAAAAAAAGAAAACCATAATTTTGGAAGACGTAAAAAAAAAAAAGAAAAATATTCCACTTGCAAGCATGAGGCAGTGGGAGTACTATTTTTTATTTATTTATATTTTATTTTTTTTATAAAAGGCAAATGATATGGCTATGGCGAACACCAACGAGGACAGCGAGTTCAATTGAAGCTTGGAAACTGAAGAGCACTTTCTTTCTCATGCAAAAAATTAGAGGAAACTCTTGGTAGCGCAGCCAGCCACTACCTACGCTACTAATAAGCAGCCAAGCAGCGGCGTCGGAGTGGGTTTGGCCCATTATTTGAAATCCGCATAGCTCTGACTACAAAGCTTGAGCCTTGAGCTATTATTAGCATGTGCAACTGCGTCCTCTGGAGCCCTCTCCCCTTTTCCATCATCAAACTTGGAAACTCAACCCTCAATAGCTCACGAATTCCAGGTACCCATTTCCCATTTATAAAAAATAATGGCAGAATACAGCTTTTTGAATGCAGTATGAAGGCAACTCAATCTCCAAGGTCAGGCTCGGAGGGAGAGAGATATGGCCACCTGGAGTTTGAAGACAAAGGGAACAATGAATTGGAGCTCCAACGACGTCGCATCGATGCTAGCTTGGAGAAAATTAGTGACGAGGAATTGAAGGGCGAGAAGGGGAGTGGAAAAAGTGGAGATGAATTGGTTAAAATGGAAAGCAGGAGGAGGCAAGTGATGAAGAGGTCAAATATGGTGGCAAAGCAAGTGATAAGCATCCAATCTGCCCAAAGCTTAGGCTTTGTATCTCAATTATGGGTGGATACCGCTTCAGTAAGTGCTTTGCTCTTCATATTATTATTATATTATTATTATTATTATTCAACGCAAACCATGTTATTTTGTTATTGCCAATTTTCAGCTGAATTTGGAATTTTGGGATTAATTGTATATCCATGAAATATTTCATTTCTACGAGTATCTTTACTGCTGAGTTCGGTTGTCCCCTTTACTGTTCACATTTTGATTCCAGAAGTACAAAGCAAAAAGTTTTCTTGGATAAAAAAGCAAGTGGTAGTATTATGCCGAATAAAAAAATTAACGTTTTGGATACCAAAATGTATGAATTATGATTTTGTTTATATATGGAACAATTATGTTTGAACATGTTTTGCGATTTTTTGTTTATTTTTAAACAAATATAATTTTGCTTTTTTGACTTGCTGCAACTTTTGAGGCAGCAAAGTTAAGTAGCAAAAGTTACAACCAAAAGTGAACATGGGTGTTATTTGCGCAAGGTGTTAATACATATTGTATTGTTAATTTTTCAGTGGCTGGTGTTGGTTGTGGAGGTAAGGCCAAGCTTGCTTGCTGGGGAATCAGAAAGGTTTCTTCTACAAGATGTCAACAAGGTAATGGATCAATTTTTTTTTTGCATTTTCCATTAAGTACTGCTAATTGCATTCAAGTCAATGGTTCATGTCTGATGTCTCTATAATTTGCCTTTAACTATAGCTGAGTGCGTGTCTATAGGTCAAGGATTATGCTTGCTTCAGCCACTATTTTCAATTGCCTTCTTTGCCTGTAATTTTCGTCACCACAGTTTTCCTTTTCAGATAGTATTTAATTTTTTTTTTCTTTTTGCTTTCAAAGGTTGGTGATGTCGTGCTTGTTGAAGATGAGAGAGTGACGGAGAATGATTTTAAAATGATTAGACTTGAGACTCTGGTAGGTGTTGTTCCTTTCCTGTCTTGCTTCCACTGTTTGGATGTAAATCTTATCATTTGTGATTTATAGCTGCTTGACTATTCTTCCCATGTTATTAATTAAAGTTTTCTTGTATGGCATAGAGTGCTTTTATGCAAATTTTCTGCTATGTGTTTGATCCTATGAAATTAACTCATGTTTGGTATGATACAGAGATGACTACTAGTTGTTCATTTGAAGTGGAGTTGTATTCTTTCAGCTTGCAACTTTTAGGTGTTTTAGAACGTAGACTTGAATTGCAATGTAGAGCTCAGTTCTTATAGATTGCAATCTTTGACTGTTGAACAATGTCATGGTTCTGTCATCTATGGAAATTAAACAAAAAAACACTATTAATATTTACATGTCTTGGAGTCAACTGATTTTCATTTTCACTAAATTGGAAAGTTTGCACAAAATGATTTTTTAAGTGATGATTCTTATTTCTTTCATGGTTTATTGATTTATGATTGAAGGATGAAGCTGATATACTAAATTCCCATAAGATATCAAAATTTCCCCTTTGTTATGGTTATTAGTTATTTTCTTTTTCATCATTTATATCTTAGATTTTACTTTTGAGAGCTTAATTTTGTTATGTTTGTTAGGTAGGATACAGAGTTGTCACACCAAGACGTCGAAACATTGGGAAGGTGAGTACATACTTTATGCCCTAGAAATTCTCTGCTTGTTTCATTTGCTTTATAATTATCTTATAATCTATCTCTTATAATTCTAGGTGCGGGGCTATACTTTCAACATTAATTCAGGGGCTGTTGAATCTCTTGAGTTGGATTCTTTTGGGATATCCATCATTCCATCAAGTTTGGTAGTCTCTCTACTCTTTTTTAATCTTTTAATACAATTAAATATCGAGTGATAGAAGGATCAGTAGTTTTTACGGTCATAACTGGATTATGGCTCCAGGTGAGCACTTATGCTTTGCTTGTTGAGGATGTGCTGGAAGTCATAGCAGACACTGTAGTTGTTGATGAAGCTGCAGCCTCACGCATACAGAGGCTGACAAAGGTGTTTTGCTTGTCACTTAATGCTTCTATTTAAAAGTTCTTGCTTGCGGATTTCTTTTTGGGACCCATTGATGCTTGTTATTTTGTGTGTACTTCCACTCATTTAGATATACATGCCTATTGGTCCCCCAGTTTAACTCAGAAATACCACCTTTATGCAACAAGATTTCCATGTACATCCACTTAGAAAAAAGCTTAATCTAGCCCCTGCAGTCATAACTAAGAAGTCGTATTGTGGCAAACAGGAAAATTTTCCTGATTCTGGTTGACAAACATATAACTTTTCTACTGTTTGGACGATGTTTCTTCTGTAGTCTTTGGCTGACAAGATCTGGGCATCCATATATAGTAGCATATCAACATATTGTATGACTATTATATTTTTTACCAATATGTGGGCATTGTTATGATCCATGGATCTTCCTAATTATTTTGAGATTGTTAGTAATAACAGTTCTAGGCATCACTTGGAAATGCCTAATGCTACTATCTGGTTGTCAGTGACATTTGAGTCTGCTAACTTGGTTTAATACCCTAAGTTGGCTAATAAGTTTTATCATTTAGTTAGAGAAGCTGATATCTGCTTACAGAATTGAAAATGTTTGCCATGAGACATGCTTGCTAATATGTTCGTTTTTTTTAATCTATAATAAATTCTGCCATTAGTTAAATATCTGACCTGCTTATGCCAGGGTTTCTTGGATGCCCATAATGCTGGTATTTCCATAGAAGAGCACACGGAATATGCTGATGGTGAAGGGGCCATCAGATTTGGAGATGGTGGGAGAACTCGGAGAGGATTCTGTAGGCAGAAATCACATTCAAAAGTGAGGGAAGCAGAAGATGATTGGGAACATCCAATGGATTACTTGTGAAGTGGTTTAGGTCTCTATGCTTGATCTTTTTCTCCCTTTCCTTCTATGTAGATATATTAAATAAATTGGTAGTTATCCTTACAGCATTAATCCGCTCATACCTCCCTCCTCCCTCCCCCCACCCCTCCAACTTTATTTTTCTTTCTTCAAATTTTACATAATCAAAAGGTGTATATTATGTGAATGAAAGTAACTAAAATTTGAAGCCACTCGTTTTGTGGTAATTGTAATGCTCTGTATTCAACTTTCTTAAGGCTAACACAGACAAGGAAAGAGTGATATTGTATTCTTGGAGTGATTTTGCACTATTTGTCCCATTACTGGCTTGCAGTTGCAGAATGGAATGGAACACCCGAAAACCAGGGATAGTTATATGATATAACAAAATATGTTCCAATTTTATGAAATATTGTATTCTGGGAGTCGCTTAAGCAACTGAAACAACAATCATGGTTTTTATTGGACCTGAAAATGAAATGGCAACCGGCAAGGAAGCAATAAATACTGACCAGCATTTGTCATCTTTGCCATTGAAGATGTTGAAACAGAACCCACCCTCTTAAACGGACAGACTAATGGGTGTCATTAGCCGCGCCCTGTTTCTTATTCTGGCGTAGCCTATATATCTATGTTTCTTCTATATTAATTACATTCATTTTTTTCTTTAATAACTCCAAATCTCAACAACTTCTTCTCATTGCTCACTTCATTTTTAATTATTATTATTATTATTATTACTATTATTATGTAGATAAAAAAAGAAAGAAAAAAAGAAGTGACCCACCAAATAAAGAAAAAGAAATGTACTTCTACTTTGTATTTATAAAGTAGTAGCCGTTAGCGCCTGCTCTTATTCAAATTCAGACACATTCTTTTTTCTTTTTCTTCTCTTCCTTTCCTTTTCTCCTCGTCTTTCCCATTTTGTCTATATTTTCTTTGGTGAAAATCCCAAATCTCTAAGAATGGCGGCGGCTCAGTTTCATCTCAGCGGACGCAAAGCTCTCCAGCCAAAGAATAATACAGCCACCCCCATTGACAATGTAGTAGTGAAGCAGATAAAGTTAAAGTCCAAACAAGAATGGAGGGACGATTCCAACAAGGAGAACCTGAACCATCATCCCATCATTATGAACCCTAACGCTACTACACCCCCGAAGAAGAAGATGGAGGGAGCGTTGGATTTAGATTCGTCATTGGCGGAGGAACTCAGTGCCATCAGGAAGAAGCTGGAGCGGCTGAGGTTGAGTAAGGAGAAGACGGAAAAGATATTGAAAGACAGGGATGCAATGCTGCATTTGCAAATGAAGGAGATGGAGGAAAGGGGGCGGATTCAGAAGCAGCTTGAAATCGAGGTTGATAGGCTATTCAGATTAAAGGAGCTCAAATCTTATTGCCTCGTAAGTTATTAGTTAAGCAACCTCGGAGACTTTAATAATGTCTAGTATTTTATGATTTTTCTTCGTTACAAACCAACCTGGGAGTGTTTAATAATGTCTAGTATTTTATGATTTTGAATTCAGAGGATATCTCCAATAAAATCACTGAGGGAGAGACAACAGGGTAGGAAGCTTAATGAAGTGCAATCGCTGGTAAGTTAGTTGGTTTTGGGGAAATCCCCACGGTTACATTTCTTTCTGATTTCTGTTCTGATCCAAATGTTCAGGAAATAAAAGGTGCAGATTGGGAGGAGGAATCCATGGATGAAAACACATTGCAGAGTCCAACGCCATCAGATTCTTCTGAATTTGTTGGAGAGAACAATGATTAATCATGTCTGTCCAAGTCCAAGTCCAAACCCTAACCTTCCCCGCCGTATATATATAATTATGGATGGAAGAGAGCAATGAACGGCGGATCTTCGGTCTTCTTTTGTCATTTTCAAAGGAAATGCTATAATATAATATATATCTGATTGTAGTAAGTAACTGATCATGTTGAAAATTCAAATTCAGACAGGCTCTCTTTCACTAAAATCATCTTCTTTTTAATCCTTGCTTTGGTAGGGCGCCACAGCCTTCCCTGATAGAACACTGTTATCATCATCGATATTCTCATGCATACTCTTCATTACCGCCTAGCCAAATATGAACATCTATCAAACAAATTGTCCGAAGCTCAAACATTTTTTTTCTTTATCCAAATCTCCTGTTCTAACTTTGAAATGGACGTACCAGGGTGACCACAAGATCCAATAAAAAATAATCATGAAAATCACATCAAATAATGTAAAAGAAAAAGAATCATGGAAATGCCACAAAAATAGCATCCATTGGAAAATTCAAACCATGCCTTTTATAGCATTGTTATTGGTACACTAAGAAATATAGACCAAATTCTAAAACTAGCTTTGGAAATGAATACCATCTGCAGGGGTTATGGTGAAAAAACAAGCATTAAACGTTTCATATGAAATGCCTTCTACAACCAGAAACTGGCATAAAGAAATAGCCAACATTAGCCTGTAGCCGCATCCAAGATCATCTTTGCCACAAAACGAGCCTCTGTTTTCTGTAAGAGTGGGACGTATGCAAGCACCTAAGATGCTGAACAGCAGAGTTATGATTTTGCACAATCATCCCTCGAAGACCTAATTATATCCCTAAAAGAAAGTCCCTATAGCAAGATAAATATGAATGAAAGATTACTTTCAAAGTCAATGACCACAAACTCAAGATAAACAGAATGACACTTCCGAGATGATCAACCCTACACCTTCACTGCATGAATGACAGATCTCCAGATTCCACTAACAGAATTTCCAATGATTGTTGCAGTTAACACATGTTACATAGGTTATCATAGGTTCGTCTGCACTCCTTGCCTGCACTTGATAGTAAGTGGTCTTGCGTTGACCACAACGACCACACTTAAATTGATCTGTTATAGCCTTTGGTGCACTACCACGCTCACAATTAAATAGAGCCCTTTCTTTTATTTCTTTATTTTCATGTCACCTCTGCTCACTGGCCATTTCCTCTGGGGTCATAGTGATAAGCATTTCTGGCTTTACTTCTCCCAGAAGAACCTTCCTCCTTAAATCTGGGCTGTTTGGATCCTTCATGTTGAAAATTATAGATCTGTACTTAAATTTTTGGGGCCCATTTGATTTACCCATGTTTTCAAACATCACGGATTCTACAGATATGGCAACCCGGATGGGATCACAAGCATTCACTTGATTCAACATTTCCTCATCAGTCTCAGCGGAAACTTTAGACAAGGCCTCTAAAAGAATCCCCCGGAATTTGTCATGCAAAGGATCATTACATTTGACCAATGATGTCAGCTTTGGAGGACCAGAAAGAGGCTGCGATGGTTTCTGTACATTCGACGCTTGTCTCTCATCCATGTAAATCTTTTCAACCCTACGAGTCTCTCCCCAATCTGTCATCTCAGCCATTGCAGTATCTCCATTTGCTTCCTTTTTCTCAACTTTGATGGGTTTTGTTGAATCACCTTTAGATAGTTTCTCAACCTTTAAAGTTTCTGTATTGGAGAGCTTTTCAGCCTTCACAGCACTTGGCTTTTGAAGTTTCTCAACCTTGACAGCACTAACAGTGTCATTTTTCTTGTTCTTGGTAGTCTCTTCCATAACAATTTTTTTTCCATAACTCAAGCAAGTCAGAAGCCACAGTTTGGATCTTCTCCCTAGGATGCTTTGTGAGAGGTCGAAGCCTTTTTCCAACATGTAATATGTATGGGAGTTAAATTTTCATGAAATGTACACATTCACCAACATCCATGTAACAAAGTAAATAACAAGATGAAGAAGAAACAGATGATAATGTCTTGGTCCACTAATAGGTTGAAATTGCCAACATTATTGTAAAGCTAACATCAGATCTGACAATAATTACATGGATCTCCTTCAATGTCATTGAGCAATGAAGAAGATATGATTCAACTATAACTACCTGCAAGTTGTAATAGCATTGAACATCATGGCTCAATCATATACCAAAATTGCCCTTTCTACGTTAGTATGACAGCACACATAATTCATTTTTTTCATGATAAATCTACACATGAAAAATTAAAGAACATGGCATGTTGCTTTTCGTCCACAAATAATTCAAAAATTACAAACGCGTTTAACATGAAACTGGGTGCTACAAAAGGTGGATGGAAAATGATGGAGAGAAAAACTTTGTTTCCTTGCTATGTAAAAAAGAAAGGTGAGAACAAACAAAATGCGATGGAAGGATATTCTCCCACCAACCCAACAAATACATTGAGGCAAGGGTAAATGAGGAAGCTATAAGATATATCTTATTACACCTAATTATACAAGAAAAAAGAGGAAAAGAGCACAACTTTGGAAAGTAATAAAGTAGTAAAATTTTTAGTCAGCACTCTATTTCTTCTAACTTCCTTTGTATTCATAAATTTCTCTATCATTCCTTCTAGTCAGTAGTCAAAGTCATTCTATAACAGGGGAGCCTTACTTTGGTAATAACATAATACATTTAAGTATTTCTATATTTAGTACTAGAAGCGGTGCAATTTAACTGTCCTAAAAATTTAAAAAGCAACAGTGTCAGACTCCAAATTGTGTATGTGTAGGTGTATGAAAAATCAAAAGATTCAGGCAATCCCGATTTGCCTAACATAGCTTATTTATACTTAAATGAACACAAGGCAATCAATTAAATCAGCTTCTCTGAAGTTTATAAACTGCTTCACTGCTTGCATATAGAATTAATAACCCTATCTATTCCTCTATTATACTAATATATATGTTTATATATTTATATAGAATTTGTTCTTTGCTTCCATTTGAAGAACCAAATAACGAAATATTTCGAAAAGGAAATTAATTGGCCTCCTAATCCACAGTCACAAAATTGAAATAAAGATAAACTCAGAGACAAGTTAAATCCATATATGAGATAATTGTTTCATCGGAATTAAATATATTAATTGGGGGGGGGGGGGGAGAAAAGTGAAAAAACCTGATTAGAAACAAGATTATCGTAAGTGACGGGGAGAGCCTTGAGATGCTTCAACGCGTCCACGCATCTGGAAACCTCGGGGACGATGGAGGAAACGGCATCGGACGCGGCCAAAACAGCCGCTTTCTTGGCAGCCTCAAACAAATCCACCAGCCCCCTCTCCATTCGCCAAAGCGGAATTACCTATCCTTCACTTTTTGTAAGGACGTTTTGAAGAGAGACGAAACCGGCAAGGAAAGAAAAGAGAGCTTGTGGTTGGGTTGTGTTTTGTTTTCTTTGATTTGGTTTGGTTTGGTGTTTTGGACGGGATTGAGTCAAGATCCATGAAGAAGGGAATGGACGGTCAATGGTCATGCTTCGTTTATTTTCCAGCATTCAAGCTTTGGCCTGAACCTGGACTCATTCTGCTGCTGGGTTTTTAAATCTGTTTCCTTCTGGCTTTTAGTAAAATAAAAGGGCGAAAGAGAAAAGGAAAAATCAAAAGAAACAGAAATTCATTCTTCTTAATAATGGTTACATATAGTAAATTAGAAAGTTACAGACTAATTTAGTAATTTTACATTATCTTGAAAATTACAAATGCGTATGGTTCGAGAAAATCCAAAATTTTTTTTAGAATCTTGTGAATATTTGATTTTTACATTTAGTTTAGAATTTTTAATTTCTGAAAAAATTATCATATTTTCAACAGTATTTAAAATTTCAAAATTAGAAATTCATCTCTCATTATGATATTTTAAAATTTCAATTAAAATGTTACTTCAGTTTCAAATTTGATCAATAAAAATTTTTTTTATCTATGTTACCCTTATAAAAGAAAAAGGCAAGTCTGAAATTAAATTTTATTTTAAATTCATTACAACATTTCTTACGTCCAAATGCTATAATTAATATATTTTTGTTGCATTTTCAATTTTATTTTATAACTACCTATTATGGCTTTTCTTAAATACACATTGTATTTGAGTTGAGAAGTGATATGAAATATGGCTATTATGGCGTTTTAATCAAGAAATGTCATAATTAAGTTAATCAATTATGGCGTTTCTTTGTTAAAACGCCTAATAACTACATTTCATTTTTTATTTTTTTCTATCGAAAATTGTATTTCTGACATTATGAATGTTATAATGTCTAATCAAATTCAAAAGAACATCTTTTTAAGATATTAATTATGACATTTCTACATATAAAACGCTGTAAATTGATGTCTTCATCATATTTCAATAACAAAAATCACTTTTTTATTTTTATTTTAACATAATAGAGCTTAAAGCAAATATTTTTCTATTTCAACCAACTTCAGTTTTAACATCTATCATTTAAACTTCGTCCTATTAAGTTTATTTGCATTTTTTTTCAATAAACGATGTGTCTACTATCTATTACCTAATTATCTGTTTTGCATTATTTGTTGCATTGAAATGTTTTCTTTTTTTTAGATCTCGTTTAGATCTTGATTAATAATATGTTGATATATCATATGTAAAGCTTCTTTTTGGTTTTAACTTTATCCATAAATGTTTTGTTATTGGTTTATATTTTGTTTTTGGATGTTTGATAGATTCCATATACCATATGCAAATATTTGCATTCCAATTATGTTTTCAACATTAACGAGAATCTGTTTTCTAAACAGTTATGACTTGTTTATCACTAAACAAAAGATGCAATTGGTTACAGTGCTTATGTTGCATTTGAATTAGATAAAGACTTTGTTGCATATGTTAGTTATTGTTTCTATGACTTTAACTGTAATGAACCATAGAAAATGACACAAAGTATCTTATAGTAAAGCATTTTATGTAGGCTACATATTAGAAAGTTAAACTTAAATGCAATGATTTTTAAGAACGATAAACAATGTGTAGATAATACCAAAATGGAAAAAGAGTTTTTGTAAAATTATATTATTTGCTTTAAACAGAATGAAGATTACAAGCATTTAGACATTTGTCAATAGAAAAATGGTTATTGGTTTCCTCCATATAAAAAATAAAGTTATGAAGCATTAAATAGCTAGATCTGGAGAGACAATTAGTAGGCAATTTCATTTTTTGTTGATTGAGACTACATACACTGTTGTTTAAAAAATTCAAACCGATACAAAAAAATTCAATAGATAATAAATAAAAATGGTAAGGATTATTTGGGTGCCATAGATGGGACACACATCAATGTCAATGTAGATGTAGTTGAAAAGCCTAGATACAAAACTAGGAA